GGGATTGGCAACGCGAGATGGGCTGCCTCGTTTTGCGCGTAGACGCGAGACCGGCGGCTAAAAAAGGCACGCCAGGATGGACTCCACGCGGGAAGGCGAATCCGCGTGACCGATGAGACGCGCAAAGTTACACGCGCGGTGACTAGATTTTCCAAGTGCCTAAATTTTAGGTCGATGGATCAGGAGTTGTTGGAGAATAATTTTTTCTTATCTTTTTAAAAATAAAGAATTAGAAAAAGATTTAAGAAACTCTCGGAGATGCTGTTACAATGATCCGAGGGTGAAACACACCACTCATCGAATGGTGGTCCCACACCCTATCTCCGGAGATATTTCAGTAACACTTCTTTTACTGGTTTCACTTTCAGCCGTACGATGATTGATGGTTCAGTGCATGGAATCTTTGGCCCTTTTATGTCTCTCTCGTCTGTTCACATGTTGCCATTCATCCCATTCCTATTGGGGCTCTTCGATCAGAGTCTGCCCCTGATCCCAGTCCCAGCCTGGGGCGGCACGGCAGCCCAATCTCAAAAAGCAAAAGGAAGTCAACGGCAGCACGGCCACTGAACAGTGCTTCCATCGATTCAAGCTAGCGACGGGAAGTCCGATCCGGCGAAGAGCTGCCGCGCCGTAGGCTCCGGCGGCCGGGGACACCGGTGAGTACGTTCTCCAAGCTCGGTCTTTCGCCGCCGTTCTTTGTCTCAAGATCAAGGGCGTCGTCGCCGACATTTTAGTTTCTCTAGAACACCAGCGCACGCACACGAGCACACAAATATATACACAAACCATCTTATACTTGTGTTCTAACAGGGACGAATTCATGGAGGTTGTGACGGGGGTACTGACGGCGCTTGTCTTCAAGCTCGGTAAACTGCTGGTCGGCGAGTACAATCTGCAGAAGGGGGTGAAGGGGGAGATCATGTTCCTCCAACCTGAGCTCCAGAGCATGCAGGCCGCCCTCAAGGAGATATCCAGATCTCCGTCAGACCAGCTTGACCGCCAGGACAGGATCTGGGCCAGCGAGGTGCGCGAGCTGTCCTACGACATTGAGGACAGCATCGACACATTCATGGTGCGCTGCGAGGGCGGTCAGCTCGCAGCGCCGGACGGCATGAGAGGGTTCATTGATAGGAGCCTTGATCTGCTGACAAGATTCCGTGTTCGCCGTCAGGTTGCAATGGACATTAGAGGCATCAAGAGGCGTGTCATAGAGGTGCGCGAGCGGCGGGAGGTGTACAAGATTGACGGTGTTGGAGCTAGGCCTGATGCTGTTGATCCTCGGTTGTTGGCTCATTACACAAAGGTGACAGAGCTCGTTGGCATCGATGACGCTAGAGATGAGCTAATCAAGGTTCTGACTGATGGGAGCGAAGCGTCCAAGCAGCATGGCAGGGTAATTTCCATTGTTGGGTGTGGAGGCCTGGGAAAGACAACTCTTGCTAATGTTGTGTACCTGAAGATTAGAGCACAATTCGATTGCTGGGCTTTTGTTTCCGTGTCTCAAACTCCTGACATGAGGAGATTATTCAGGGGTATACTCTCTGAACTTGGCAAGGACATCAACGAAGAAACACTGGATGTGAAGCACTTCATTGATGCAATCAGGAAATTCCTTCAGGCAAAGAGGTATACGAATGAATAACACAATAAATCAATAAGGCTAGCCGACAATTTTATATGTATATGAATGTTGTTTTCCAGTGTTAATTTACACCATATGTTTCACCATATTTTACCATAGCAGTAATCATTGCACGCACAAAGATTAAGTTGGTACTTAGTCCAAAAAAAACGAATCTGAATTTGCTTATGAATACCTTTGTTATGTGTACAGGTACTGCATTGTTATCGATGACATATGGGATATCTCAGTTTGGAATATGGTTAAATGTGCTTTGCCTGATAACATGGGTGGACATGTAATTATCACAACTACCCGTAATTTCAAGGTAGCTCAAGAAATTGGTGGTGCTTACAACATGAAACCCCTCTGTCATGAAAGCTCCAGAAAAATATTTTATAGAAGAATATTTGGCAATGAAGAAAAATACAAATGTCCTGATGATGAGCACCTAACAGAAGTATCTGATAGAATATTGAAGAAATGTGCCGGTGTGCCTTTAGCTATCATTACGATAGCTAGTTTGTTGGCTAATAAAGCAAGAGACAAAATGGAGTGGCTCGAGGTGTACAACTCTATTGGTACCGGACTCGAGGATAGTACAGATGTAGAGAATATGAGAAAGATTTTGGCATATAGCTACTATGATCTGAAATACCATCTGCGGATTTGCTTACTATATTTAAGTATGTTTCGAGAAGATTATGCAATTACAAAAAATCATTTGATATGGATGTGGATAGCTGAAGGTTTTGTACAATGTGAACAAGGGAAGAGCTTATTTGAACTTGGCGAGTGTTACTTCAATGAGCTCATAAACACAAGTATGATCCAGCCTGTGTATGGCAGGCATGAGGCCATGATAGAACATTGCCGTGTACATGATATGGTTCTTGAAGTTATCCATTCCCTGTCAAGTGAAGAAAATTTTGTCACCATATTGAACAATGAGCACAGCACATCTCCATGGAAAATGTTTCGAAGGTTGTCTCTTCAGAACAGCATGGTACACCATGATAGCACATTCCCTAGTATGAGCATGCTACAAGTGAGGTCAGTTATTACCTTTTCATCTGCTTTTGATCTACCGGCCCTTGCAAGCTTCAGGGTTTTGCGTGTACTAAATTTAAAAGGTAGTTATCTCCCACAAGGTTGTGATCTTAAGCATCTTGGAAATTTATTTCACTTGAGGTATTTGGGACTTGAAAGGACATATAGTAATGAGCTCCCAGATGAAATAGGAAACCTGCATTATCTACAAACATTGGACATAAAGGGAAGTAATATTGGTAGCCTGCCATCAACTGTTGTTCAGCTAAGACATTTGATGTGTCTTTGTGTCGACCAAAATACAAGAGTGCCAAATGGGATTGGGAGCCTAACAACACTTGAAGAGCTCTCAACGTTATACCTCTGCGACGAATCCACGGATATCACAGAAGAGCTGTGCCATCTAACTGAACTGAGGGAGCTAGAACTTTTCTTCTGGAACAACACCTTGGAGAAATCTTTGGTGGCGTGCCTATGCAAGTTGAGAAAAATCCAGAGTCTAGTTATCTGGGCCTCTGGTGGTGAATACAATTTTGATGCATGGGTTGCTCCTCGACATGTCCGTAGATTGCAGCTACAATGCTGCTGGTTCTCAAGGCTGCCAGATTGGATGACTCCTTCCCTTCTGTGCCTCTCCTCCCTGTGGATCAACGTGAGGGAGCTGCACCAGGAGGACCTAGAAATTCTTGGGAGGTTGCCAGCACTCCATCATCTGTATCTGATGTTGGACCATGAGAAACTCAAAATCCCTCAGAGATTCGTCGTTGGTGCTTGTTTGTTCCCATGCCTGGTAGATTGCAGGCTGATGGGATTTATGGGAGCTGTGTTCTTCCATCAAGGAGCTATGATGAGGCTCAAAAACCTTGCCTTCACGTTGTATGCAAGGGATGTGAGAGAAATTGCGAGCAGCGATGGTAGTTGTTTCGACTTGGGCTTAGGCAACCTGCTGTCACTGAAGAATGTCATGGTTTACTTCCGATCCGGAGGCGCCGGCGAGATGGAAGTGGAGGAGGCCAAGGCTGCACTGGCCCATGTGCTTGAGATTCATCCCAACCATCTCGACTATTACATATGGGGTTGAAGGTTAGCGTGCCACTGAGATGCATCCCACCCAAACCGGGCAGCCCTTGCAACTAACGACAGGAAAAGAACCTCGATCAGTTTCTCTCCTTTCTCTGTATTGCAATCTTTTCCCTGTTTTCCTCCACAAAAGAACCTCAGTATCTGTCGCAGGTTCAGAATAGTGATGGCCAATGGAAACAGGTAAACAACAGGCCGAACCCCAACCCCCCCCCTTCTTCTCGTAGCAATGATGTTATGGTTTACTCATTGCCCATAGAAATGTCACAGATCAGGATATACGAGGAGAGAAAAATGTACCGCTGTGATTGTAATTCTGGGATTTTTATTCAGATTGTAGCATTAAAAGAGAATTGGTGATACCTCACTTGTACCACCTAGTTTTGGCAAGACCTCTTCTTCAAGAGATGGTTATGAATTATCGCATACCTTCAATTATTGGTGATTAGCAGATACAACTTTTTTTATTCAAAATTGAGCTCCCAGCGACGTTTTTTTTTTTTTGAAAATCACCTCCCAGATACCTGCAATATTTTTATTAGCATTTCAACCTCTAACCAGAATATGTTAAGTTTTGTGGTAACATTGGATCACAGTGAAACTTGCAGATATTTAAGGCTTGCATGTATAACAACAATGATATGGAGACAAAGGATCAGTATACCTTTTGGCAACTGCTTCCTTTAGTTAGGATCTTCTTTTGGAACTGTTAATCTTAGGATAGTAACCCTCAGAAATTTTCAGAGGCCCAGGTATAGTGCAAGGACTGACAAGTCAAGGTATGGGCCCTGGTGGGCTTCTAACTATCGTGGGTCGTCCTGAGTACAGAAAGTGAGCAGCAACACAACTTGTATCGTGGACCTAAGCCATCTGATTATATTCTTTGAAAGACAAAATGCACTATTCATGGTCGAAGAAAATTCAAACTAATCTCCAAAACGTCAGAACCGTTACAGAGTACAAACTCGAATATACAGCCTTATGTACACTGGCAATTCAAACAGCACCTCCAAATCAATTGCTTAGGTCCTCTTCCTTCATGTTTGAGCTTTTCGCAGAAGCCGGGAGTGGGATCATAATTCTTGTATCTACTCGATGTAAAGATTGTGATTTAACAAAATCCTTCCTTTATCAAAAAAAAAAAACTAGACACTTAACATATTGACACACATTGTAGTGATCTCAATTCTAAACCAGAGCAGGGAGTTCTTACGAAGGGGAGAAAAAACAGGGCAGGGAGTAAACAAGCTCACTCAAGGACGACGATCAAATCCACCTTATCAACCACTTTACCAGGCTTTTCGTCGAACATGTCTTCAGTTATATCTTCGGCTATGAGGCTCTCATCCACTCTGGTGCTCTCGACGTAGAACTGGGATGCGCCGTAATTGCATTGCTCTGGTGCCATCTCCAGTGCTTGCAGTGTTATGTTGACACTACACTTGGATCGTGGTGGAACAATATTTTTGCTTGGCTGTGTGCGGTACAGAAGTGAGCTCGAGGTTGTAATTCTGAAGGCAAAGTAATCATCTGTATCATTAATCAGCTCAATTGTGCGAGTTATCGCCTTATTATGCTCATAGGGGAAATGCAGCTCCAGTGGCTCAATCTCAAGCATGTCCTTCAACAATGGATGTTTCTGGAAGAAAATTTAGATATGGATTAACATGACCATGTACTAAATTGCTTACGGAGGATGATGTAGCAAACACCCTTACCTGATCAAATATAGATATGTTGGTATTATTATCTAATTCGTTGAGCTCATGGATTATGGAGCATATGGGAGGTCTTCTATTTCGTTCTCTGTGCAAGCACTTCAGTGCCAATTCGAGGCATTTATGCACTTGATGGTACCACAATGGTGTATGCTTCCCTGATTTATTCCACCTATGTTTCCATTTTCTAAGTACCTGTCATTTCAGAAACAAGGTTAGAATAATTCATGGACAAAAGTTCATGCAGATTTTTTATGTGTCCTCTAGCTTCAAATATAGAAATAAACTCCCTCGGTCCTGAAATATAATGAATTTTCAGTTGGCCTAAGTCAAACCATTCTAAGTTGACCAAATTTGTAGAGAAAAATATTAATATCTAACTCAAAAAGATAAACTATAAAAATATATTTCATGATGTACTAATGAAAATCATTTGATGCCATAAATATTAATGTTCTTTTCTATAAACTTGATCAAACTTATGACGGTTTGACATAGGATAACTGAAAATCAGGACTGAGAGAGTATACAAATGACCTGGAAATATCAAATCAATACTAATAACTCCTTAGATTCAAAAAAAATACTAACTCCTTGGAGTTAAGGCAGAATCTCTCGGTTTCAAAGTGAGTTCATCTGTTTCACATGTAAAATTCCAACAAGTTTATGTGAATTTCATTCATTCCAAAGTGGGGCCCTAAACTTGGACCAAACATTTCATGCATCGAGGTAACCTTTCCCTACCTTTTTGCCTTAATCTATATCTCTTATAAAGTTAATCCCCACTACAAGTCTATCTCAACATGCAAGCCATCCACATCATTCTCCACTAACTTTATCCACATCATCTAAATCAACAAGTTCCTGGTGATGTGAAATATATTCACATACCTATGAACTCTAAGTGCACGCATAACCATTTAGGAAGAAAAATGTTTGAACGATTATAAGAGAAATGCTTGGTTAGCAACAATCTTATTACTATTAATTGGAGGCCCCCAACACAGTCTCCCAGATTACCAACATCTGCTATCATAAAAAAAACTTGAATAAGAAAAGGCACACCTATATAACCTTGTAGCTTAATTACTAACTTCTTCCTGTATTAATAATAATAAATGAAAAACTCAAAGTAAATATATATTCTGTTTGTGTAATATGACATTAAAAATGTAAGTTGTTACCTTTGATGAATTTATATATTTGATAGAAACATTATAATGTATACATGGTGCGGGTTGAAATATTTATGTCATTGTAGTGATATGCATATAGACTATAACCAAGTCTTCATGCTTAGTAACTAGTATAATTTTAACAAAATAAAAAATGAGAGTTAATAAAAGGTACAATAAGCATTGGAGCTCCAACTTAACATGTGGATAATAAAATTTTTGGCAACTAAAAAGATTGAAAGTTGCAATAAAAAATCTACATTCATATGCCATGACACATGGGCTCTGATAACTGCCGACATAATTTAATATAGGTTTCAACTAAACACATGTTGAAGACATAAGAAAAGAGAAACAACATAAATATAAAATGGTGAAACATATATAATAATTCATAAATTTCTTACAAATAGAAGAGAGAAGAGACATAGATTATCCGATGGTATTGTGTTAACAAATTAATAGAGATAGAAAGAGTGCAAGAAGATAAAGGAAATTTGATTAGTTTGAGGTATCAAACTTGTAACACCCCCGGTGTTACGCACCTGTTAAGCAGAGGTTCAAACTTAATGAATGTGTTAACTAGCATTTTCATGTGTTTGGTTATATAAAAGTCGCATAAAAAAGATAACGTACACGTTTGTTTGAATCACTTTTGTGAATAAAATCAATATGCGTGATGCCAACCAACCTTGCTTTTTGTTCTTAAACACCTCTAAATGATATTTTCGAATAAAAGTTGTTTAGGGTTTGTTTTGGAAAAATGTGAAGAAAATTATTAAAAATGCTCCAAAAGCCTAATTTGTTTTAATTGCTTAATAGCCTTTTGAGAACTAAATAAATAATTATTTTATAAAAACTGTAAAACATGTTGGTGTGAAAAGCTTAGTTTAAGTTATGAACTTTGTGGTAGGGTGTTTATTTGTGCCTAGTTTGCGTGTTTCATAGATTAATTAGTGCTCTAAGCCCGGTTTGTTCACCGACGCTGCTAGTTTGATGCTCCACGTTCTCCGCTGTTTGCTATGCAGCTAGTGTTGGGGAAAAAATAAAAGTTGGAGTTTGAACATAGAGGAAGAGCTCTGCAAAGTTTGGTGTGTGTTGGCTACAGGTTGGACCTTCAGAATAGCAGTCGAACAGGGGCAGTTCGGAGTTTTTGTTCAGAATTCTTGAACCTTGTTGGTAGCCTGACATACCAAAGTTTGAGCACGTTTATCTCCTACTAATCCTTCATGCTAATGACCTTGGTCCCGTAATAAGTGTGGAAGTTTAGCCGGAGGTTAAGATCTTTTGTTACCGTAGCCGGCTTCAAATCTGGACGGAATATGCTGAAACAGTGAGGTCAAGGGGAGCAAATGGCACTGCCCACGCCCTTACCCTGCTCTGCCGTCGCCCACGCCCTGCTCTGTGCGCGCACAGGGGCGCCCATGCCACCCTGTCCTACCGCGCGTTTAAGGGGGGCGCCGCACTGCTGTCCTCGCGCCCTGCTTGCTCTCCCTTGCTCTGCTCTTGCCGGCGTAAGGCTCGCCATGGCCGCCCGAGCCCCTGCTGCCGCCGCCGGCCGTTCCCGCCTCTACGGTCCGCCTCCGCCCTGACCAAGCGTACCCTCGCGTTCGCCACAACCTCCCCGCTCCCATCGGCTCGCTCTTCGGGCCAAGCCACGCCAAGGACCCCGCCCGTCGCGGCTACTGCTGTCTGCCACCGCGGCGGATGATGCCGCCTCCGCGGCCGTGCTCCTGCAGGCCGCGGCCAGGCGTGCTGCGTCCGCCTGCGCGTGTGGCCAGGTCCGCCGTCGCCCCCACGCACCACCGTCGTCGTCACCCGGCTCGCCCCTTGCCGAAACGACGGGCACCGCTGCTCGTGGCCCCGTCCTTGCGGGCCATGGCTGAGCAGGTTGCGCCCCCCTACAGCCGCGTCCAGGGCCACCGCCACTCTCGCGCACCCCGCCGGCCTGCTGGACGCTGCCGCCGAGCCCTCCGCGGCCCTCCTCTGCTCGGTGAAGACGGGGAAGAAGAAGAGAAGGAATAGAAGTTTTTCCAGGATTCCCAATGTAAATCTCGTCACTCAAATGAAATGAATAGTGCTGCATAGTGTTTTTCTTTTTCCCTTTTCAATAAATCGGTTGAAACTTTGGAAAATAATAGTAATTCGTAGAAAAATACTAAAATGGCAAACCCAGTTTTGTTGAGCTCCACATAAGTAGATCTATGCAGTAGATACATAATAATATGACATGTTTAAGTAGAAAAGTTTGGATATAGATGGTTGCCTATGCTTTTTAGTGCTAAATTCATATCTGTAGTTATGCGAATCCAATTGCAGTGGAATTTTTATGGTACACTAGTATTGATGTGTGTGTTCTATGGTAAAAGTTTCATATACAGATGATGCGTAGTTTCTGAGTGATTGATTTATATTGTAATAGCCTTGTTTAATAATTTTAAAGTAGTTAAAAATGCATAAAAATGGGAAAATTGTGTCTTCTATGTTTTATAACTGTTATTATGTCCTATGAACCCATGATATGGCTCTGGTGTCTAATAAAATGTTAAGTTATAGATTTATCTTGGTGTCACATGCTTGATTACAATTAAATCTTGATTAACTTCTTGTTATTAAATTCTTCTTCCAAAAATTATGATATTCACACAGTAGCTATGTTTAGTTGCGATGAACCTACAATCGATAAAAATTTTCGTCTCTAGAATAGATGTTTGAGCCATCACATTTTTATTCGGTGTTTATGCTTAAATAAGTAAATAGCTTTAATATGTGATTCACCTTTTGTTTGCAACATGTTTGCTATGTTGTTTGTACCTCACGTGATCTAGGTGAAGTGTTACGCATCTCTGTTTGGTAGTATTTATATGCTTAGCATGTTTTTTGTATTGCATTTACGTGTTTAAATATAATAATCGTCTCTCTAGAAGGTCTCTGCGGGAAGATATGAGAGTTGACCTAAGCACGATGACTACTCTCGTTCACCCTTTAACACGTGTTGTTTGTCCTTCGTGTTTGTAAATGTCTTTGTTATGCCAGTGTCACTTAAGCATGCATTGCATTTGCATATCATTTAGGAGCGATGATAAATGGATGGATCAACTAAAGGATGTTGGTGTCAAGCGGGAAGATGGTGTATTGGTGACCGAGTACAGAAGATGGAGATGGTCGGATCATGTCCCAAAGATGGAAGAATACTAACTTAGTAGAGTACAAGTTACCTAGGCAAGCCCCGGTGCATGACCTATTGATTTAAAACACTTTTTTTGTTTATGTTGCATTAGGTGTAGGAGTTGATTGGAACCTACATGCATAAATATCCTGACCTATGAGTCCTACTAGCTAATAGGCTCGAGTAGCTGCTTTTGCTTAGGGACTCGGTAGATGTGAGCGACCTGCTGTTGCTTGCAATAGGTCCACACTTTCTTATCTCATAAATGGAGTTGGGAGGATAATAACTTGAGACCGAGCGGGACATAGTGTTGGTGAGGCAACACGACATGGAGGTTTTGGGTGCGCTTTTAGTCCCGCCTGTAAGGACCGTACCGAAAGGTGGGCAATATTGGACATGTCGAAAGTACCAAACACATATTAGGATCCAGGGCTTATTGTTGATTCGAGAAGACCTAGGTACCTCTCTTGACCTAAGTGTCGGGCTTACACTAGTCGATTAGGCTAGGGCGGCGCAGATGGTTGAGGGTCAAGGCCACAGAATTGCGGCGGGGTTGTAGTGTGCTGGGGTTGTTGACTCTCTCGGTTGGCCGAGTAGGTTCAGACTTAGTAAGCAAATTAGGCAAGGGCTAGTCTTGCATGGGCTAGTGTCCGTGCAAGGCGTGTGTTTAGCGTTACCCAGCTGGATGTACATCGATTCGAATCACCGCAAGTCTCTCTCGGATATGAGAACCTTGATCCTTTCCCCACCATCGTAGTAACAACTTGAACATGGAGGATGATGGAGAAGAGGATGAACATGGACGCTATTTTATTGCTTACCACATGCTTGAAAGTACATCAGGCACTTACATAGAATGGTTATTAGTTAATGAACCTAATCTTGATTGCTAAAACTTGAACATAAGGATGCACTATTTGTAAGCTTCTCTGCAAAAATAACTTAAAAATGTGGTATTCGAGTTCTCCCGTTGTAAGTTTTATTCACTTCTTTATGATCCTGATGAAAATGTGGTATTCGAGTTCTCCCGTTGGGTGTACTCGACAGACTACCGGGTTTAACTTGGTCTCTTGTGTATTTACTGTCAAATGGCTGACAAGTACACTTGGAATTAGGTTAAATTGGGCGGTTCTGCCACAAAACTTATCAACAAACTTCTAATATTTATGTCTTGTAAGATTATAGTCTGGGCAGGAGAACGAGTTGATGTGCTAGTTAGAAAAATTACACTTACCCCAAAAATATTAGGCTTCTCCTTACTTCCAGTTACCAGCTCTCTAATTATGACACCCAAACTATATATGTCACTATAGATGTCTCTCTTATGTGGCGGTGGCACGTCAGTGCATTCTGGAGCAGAATATCCTCTGCATAAGACAGAACCCATTATGACATGATAATAAAGAAATTAAAAAAAATACCATAGAGCAAAAGAAGAAATGTGCCCCGCTCCAAATATCAAATTGCTCCCGCCCCATCCCCACCACACACACACACACACAAACAGCCTTTAAATTGCCTAGAGTGCCAGCATCTGATGGCTCTCACCTTCTACACTCCGAGCCAATCTCACCATTGGCTCTACATTTGAGTTTTAGGATGTCAAAAATTTAGGAAAGATAGAAATTTTGGCTGATTAGTGACTCAGAAACCTAGAGACACTCCCGTGATTCAACCTGGTCTGTCCTGACAAAATTCATTGAGCGTCCCTAACTGTCTCATTGAAATCATACCTTTTTACCCACCTTTGTGTGCCTGTTAATTAACCTTTGGAATGCCAAAGTGAAATTTTCATGAAACACTTGTGGAAGGAAGAGTGATGTTTTAAGGAACTTACACCCATTGAAGACTTCTATCACTCACAGTTATGAGTTCTGATATACCAAAACCTGTAATCTTTGGAACCATGCGATCATCTAGTAGTATATTGGATGGTTTGAGATCCATGTGTATAATATGCTTTTCCTTGTGAAGATAACATAAACCCTGACATATTCCCTTAATTATCTGAAAACGTGTATCCCAATGAAGTCCCCTTAATTCATCTGCAAAAGTAATATAAAAAGAGTATGATGGAGTGCATTATCTTCCGATATTTGCTTTATGCTTGCTAAATTGCATGTATACCAAATGATGGGACATTTCTATTTTTTTTCCGTTCACTTCGATTGAATTGAAATAAAATGAAACAAAAAAAAAAGGGCGTACCCAGTGCAGAGAGCTCCCGCTCTGTGCGGGGTCTGGGGAAGGGTGTCTGTGGCAAGCCTTACCCTCGCCTGTGCAATGCGAGGAGACCGCGACTCGAACTTGGGACATTCCGGTCACAGACGGTAAGACTCTACCGCTTGCACCAAGCCCGCCCTTCGAAACAAAACAATAGTACAAAAATGAAAAAAAATACACATGCCTAGGTATTGCTAAGTTTTTTTATTGTACCAGAAATATGCTTCTTTAGGCTGCCATTGCTTAGATACTCAAAACAAAGCAACCTTTCTCTTATCTCCGTGTTGGTAGTTTTCCCATGTATTGATGCCTCTTCTTTTGCAGCATAAGAACAGTTGCCTAGAAATCGTACTATGTTTTGGTGCTGAGCCGTCATTGTGATTTTAACCTCCCCATGAAACATCCTATCATTAATTTTGAGGCTCCCAGAAAGCCTTACTACAGCAACAACCTGCAGAATGCCCTGTTTAACTTGACTTATTAGCATGACCATGAGCCTTAGCCCTTAGAATAAAGTTCAGCTTTGTTGTGACGAAACATGAAAGAGAATCAATGGAAGTTAATATTACCTTGAAAAAATCTCCAAATTCATTATTACCCATCTTTCGCTCAACAGAAAAATTTTTAGTCATGAACTGTAGAAGTGAATATGATAGATTGTTGGGCTTCCGCCTCCCCTCAAGTATATGCTCCAGGGCATTAAGATCTTCATATATAGCAACCAATCTAAGTAAACAACATACTTTAAAATTAGAGGAACTTGTCTTTTCAATCTGGGACTGAACTCAAGTGTAAATACTAGATTGTTTGGAAGCGACCCCATAATTCAAGTAGCACTAAAGTTATACTATGTAATATTTATATGCTGTATTCTTTTAGAAGTGACCTTGCTTTGATGTTATGTTGTGTCCATTGAGGCACACAATAAGCATTGATATGAAAATTTAAATTCAACCCTGATTCAGCTTCCAAACATCAATTGCATGGGACTATGGGCCATATCTGGTCATTTAGATTGTCAAACCAATTCGTAGCATGACATGTCTCAAAGAAATTATTGGAAATGCAGGGCTTACATTGCCAGGTTCTCGATAAAAACTGCAAAAAGAAAAGGGTAATTGGGATTACTTGTGGGGTTGGGTACTATGTATGCTTAGGTTCTCCAGGAAATTAGGAGGGAGGGAAGGGAGGAAACTGGATAAATGATTACCTCCCCCCAACAAACAGACACCTCTTTTTTCCATGACAGTATGATAATTTGGAGAAAAATAAAAAAATAAAGGCTGCGCCTGTGGGGATTTACTTATAATTTACTACCTGGAATGTTCATTGATAGTTCGTTCAGGCAGCGCACGGAATCTTTGCACCACCTATGATTCAGAATATAATCAACAACTTTCAGTATAAAATTAGGATACAATAAATACAAATAAACATACTCAGTAACTTCTGAAGAGCACGCACGCACGCTGTTAGGTCTAACATCGAACCGGCAGTTATCCTTATCCTATTACTGCTGGTTCTGTCAATGAACCGGCAGTGATATCGTACTATCAATACAGGATGAAGAACCGGCAATGATATGCGAGCACCTCACTGTCATTTGCCCTCTGTCAGACCCAATTCTGGTAGAGATGCTGGTTTTTGACCCGGCAGTGATCCTCTCCTAGATTAGTGACATACAAGAATCACACACAAGACATAGCATATTACTTCTCAACAAACATGTGTATAGATCTATTTGCTATGTGCTCTTGTTCCTACATCCCCTAGCATAGGCGAGGTTCAGGTGTATTCCCAGATCATTGTACATTATCTAATCATTGACACTTAGGTATTTAAGTTTTCAGTTTCCTCTATGAAGGTTTTAGGTGGATACACAGATACACCAGTTGAGGTCTTGTTTGGATGCGCATGTATTCATCTCAATCCACATGTGTTGAAGTGGATTGGGGTGGAATTGAACTAAATTCCATTCCATTCCACTCCAACACATATGGATTGAGGTGGATACACATGCATCCAAAAAGGCCTTGAGTGGATTATGCACAGGATAGATCCACATGTAAATTCTGACATAAAAAGATACGTCACTGCATATTTTACTTGAATGAATATACCTGGTACAATGAAGACATTGGGTCATTTCTTGGCTCAGTATTAATAGACGGAGGAATCATTTGAATCATAGTTTCTGTCTCATCTAGCATAAGTATTATGTTATGTATAGTAGGTCTGCTATGTGGGTCATGGTCACAACAACTCCGTGCTATTTCAATGCATTTCTTCAGTAGTTTGCAGTCTCCATCTAATGATTCATGCCACTGCAAAGTTTAAACATATAGTAAGGATGACATCATCTGTATGTTGTAAAAGAGAAAGTATACTCAATATATGCCACTACAGATATTCGATAGGACCTTCAAGAATCTCCACAACTGGATTAGTAAATAAATGTTCAAAAGGTAATATATACCATTTAAAGGTGTCCATAAGATGTGCAGCGAAACTGTACTGACTCGGATCTGACCAAATATACAAGAGACTGAACACTACGGTATAGAAATGTATGTGTAAATTTGTGATAAGACATATTTCCATTATTTGACTTTGATTGACACATCCCTTGACACCCATTGCCTATATGAACGAATAGCTGCCTGGTGTTCATTCTTGAAGAGCCGCATCCGTTTGTACCAGGTTATGGCTGCACTTCAGGTGAAAACAGTAGGCATTGCCATTCAGTTTTTTAACTCACTAATACACTAACGCTAAAGTAAACAATGAACTACAACTTAACGATCTTTGTCAATCTAATATGGCCGCTTGTTACCTTCTCTGGACACTCCCATGTTGAGCCACATTCTCCATTACACAGCTTTGCTGTCCCCAACCTACCTAGCATCACCCTTCCCCTTCTCGAACTCTCTGCCGCCATGTGTTGTCCTGGACAGCTGAAAATTAAACTCGTGTTGCATAAAACCAGGCACACCGCCAAGGTGACTGCTCGTGCCATGGTGGAGGCTATGCTTCTATGTCTATGCAATCAACCATTGTAAAGCTAATGTACACGCTTTTCTGCTGCCACCATAGACCATTGACCCTGGAATCCAACTATGGTTGTTTTACTCTAGCTTTTTTTTTCTTTTTTTCTGTTGTGATCAAGTCGTTGCAAACTTGACATTCAGCTGAAAGAAATTTTGAGAAACATTACCATTTATCAGCCAAAATATTTATGTGAGTTCAAACTTCAGAGTTTTATCTTGTTTAGGAAACAAGGAACTAATCCATTTTCTTAAAAAAAGGAAACATAGAACGGAACGGAACGTCAAACTCCTGTTTGGCTTAACTTATAACCAATTACTTTTGCACAGTTAAGATTGACCGCAACCCGCTACCATTCCTCCGCCAACAGAAAACACACAATAAAACCTATAAGAAGCTTTTCACTACTCCTTGTATAGGATATCCTTTATAGTGATATAGTAACGAATTCCAAGTTTGATGTAAAAAATGTGCTAGGAAGGTAAGCAATGTAAATATCCTTACATTTTCAGTAGGAGTTTCATCACTCTGAGTAAGTATTTTTATCATGATAATGCCCAAACTGAATATATCGGTCTTGCAAGTTATTTGTTGATTATCTATTAGTTCTGGTGCCATATAACCCCTGCAGCAAGGATTATAGCATAAAGCAGTTTTTCACAAATTAGGTACCAAGGAAAAGATTGTGGTGCCCAGAGGACGAGCTTACGGTGTTCCACCAACATTTGTAGTGAATATTGTGGACTGTTTTCCATCAATGCACCTTGACAGACCAAAATCGGTAATTTTTGGCTCCATCTTAGCACCCAGAAGCACATTTGCAGGTTTGAGATCCAAATGATAAATGTGTTCTTGATGAAGATAACCCAAACCCTGACAAATCCCCTTAATTATTTGATAACGCATATTCCATTCATATCCATGAGTTTTTTCTGTAGAAGTGAAGAACAGCACAAAAATAATGAATTTGTTGGTTGAATATTGACAAAATAGAAGGTTTCACTGTGATGAAGCTTTCAAAATCATAAGACTTAAACAATAATCACTACAAGTAAATTTAGTTAGTTTATACACACCTTTTATTGTATTAATAAAAAAATTTGAGATCCAAATTGGAATCCCATGTAGGTTAGATGGTTTGAGCAGTTGCTTGAATATTTTGAGAAACGATTTGAAAGGAATGGAATTGATATGATAAGACATTGAATTAGCTACATCTTTTTTTCACGATCATGCTCATGCATGAAATTGGCTACATCTCACATGCTAGGTGAATGGATTGCTGATGCGGTGAGGTAAATAGAGTATACTCCATCCATCCCAAAGTGTGCAATTCTCGCTCTTTGATGAGCCAAACAATTATACAACAACAACAACAACAACAACAAAGCATTTAAGTCCCAAACAAGTTGGGGTAGGCTAGAGTTGAAACCCAACAGAAACAATCAAGGTTCAGGCACGTGAATAGCTGTCTTCCAAGCACTCCTATCTAAGGCTAAGTCTTTGGGTATATTCCATCCTTTCGAGTCTCCTTTTATTGCCTCTACCCAAGTCAACTTCGGTCTTCCTCTGCCTCTCTTCACGTTACTATCCTGACTTAGGATTCCACTACGCACCGGTGCATCTGGAGGTCTCCGTTGCACATGTCCAAACCATCTCAACCGGTGTTGAACAAGCTTTTCTTCAATTGGCGCTACCCCTAATCTCTCACGTATATCATCGTTCCGAACTCGATCCCTTCTTGTATGCCCGCAAATCCAACGCAACATACGCATTTCCGCGACACTTAGCTGTTGAATATGTCGTCTTTTCGTAGGCCAACATTCTGCACCATACAACATAGCAGGTCTAATCGCCGTCCTATAAAACTTGCCTTTTAGCTTCTGTGGTACCCTTTTGTCACATAGGACACCAGACGCTTGCCGCCACTTCATCCACCCTGCTTTGATTCTATGGCTAACATCTTCATCAATATCCCCATCCCTCTGTAGCATTGATCCTAAATATCGAAAGGTATCCATCCTAGGCACTACTTGACCTTCCAAACTAACATCTTCCTCCTCCCGAGTAGTAGTGACGAAGTCACATCTCATATACTCAGTTTTAGTTCTACTAAGTCTAAAATCTTTGGACTCCAAAGTCTCCCGCCATAACTCCAGTTTCTGATTCACTCCTGTCCGGCTTTCATCAACTAGCACTACATCGTCCGCGAAAAGCATACACCAAGGGATGTCCCCTTGTATGTCCCTTGTGACCTCATCCATCACTAAAGCAAACAAATAAGGTTCGAATAAATTTATACAGAAAACACTAACATTTGTGATACCCATTAGATTAACCATAGAATATATTTTCATAGCAAATCTATTTACACTAAATGTTGATATTATTTTCTATAAACTTAGTCAAACTTAAGAAAATTTGACTTTGTTCAAATCTAGAATTGCATTCGTTTTGGGATGGAGGGAGTACATGGAGATGAATTGAGTAGCAAATTTATACCTTTTAGGTAATGCTGAAGATTCCCATTTGGTGCATACTCAAAGCAGAGGAACTTTTTATGTGCCTCATCGATAATCATGGCTTCTCCTTTTATTTCCATCACTTGTCCTAGTGTATATGCACAATAGCCCAAAAGCCTTACAATATTTTTGTGTTTTACCTTCTTTAAACAATTAAATTCGTCCAAAAATAGCTTGTTAGAAAAATCGTTCCGTGTGGAAAGCTTTTTGACAGCAACCATCCCATTTTGCAGACTTCCCTGTTTAACATTCCCGGCCTCCAAGCATTACATATTTGCTCTGTTCAGGCAATTATATGGAACATTACTGTTGCGGAGGCAAATGGGAAGAAACAGCATACCAGGTAAACCACTCCGAACGCACCAGTACCAATCTCTTGAGAAAAATTTTTTGTAATCAGTTCTATGAGTGAATACGATATATTGACGGGTCTTGCGCTTGCATCACTAAGTATGCGCTCCAGATCTTCAACTTTGTTTGCTTGATCACTAATTTCTGTAAGACACAAAATACAGTTGAATAAGGCTGGCCACAATTTTTTCCTTTTCAGGTGAAAAGCATATTTTCTGAAGAATATATGACTTTTCAGATAAATAAATCACGATCTTGAAGGAGAAAAATTGATAATAATTAGTAATTATGCTTGCATGATGTTGCCGTAAGTATCTTCTCATTGTGTGGTAGATGATCTAAAAGAAAATATATATGGCCTTTTACTTTTTTTCATCCAAAAAAAGACGATCTGAATGACCTTGTTGCTTACTTATCTTTCATATGAACATGTATGATCTAGATTATTGTGACATGTTGTTCTCATTTATAGTAGGATGTTGTAGGTTCTTCCACATGTCTAAGGTGCATTCTAACTAGTTGATCGGAGTCCATTGGTAGAGAGATTATGTGATCATACCTTTAAAGTTTGGTTGAGATGTCGCCTCATGTGTCCTTTGGTTTGGCACAAACAATGTTGTAGTGGGCTTAAACATTCGTCCTGTCACAATGCAATGGACAGTGGCTTGTCCCTGGTACTCTAAAACAAAAGATAATGTGGTGATATGGATCTCCTTTGCTTTTTCTTTGGGGTTCTTATTTTGATAGGGATAGTCAACGGAAGTGCATCCTCTAAAAAATTGCGTTAAAAAAAGGTGCATCCTCTAAAAATTTAAATAGAGTTCACTTGATGTGGCCAATCTAAATAGGTCAGTAGATGTCAGGGAACAAACTTAAGGAATTAGTTTAATCAGTCAAATATTTAAAACAAAAGTATTTCCAAATACATGGAGCATATTATGGAAAGGGGGGTAATGTGCCAAATAGATATGTTACTAGTTAAAATGTCTAGAGTTACTGTATTCACTGCAAAAGTAATTTGGAAGTTTCTTTACGGAAAAGAGCCTTGTGCGTGCGGTAGCCTTTTGGAAGTTTGGAACAAAATATTCTTTACGAAACCTTGGAAGATTTAAGTTCCTGTAAAAGCTCGTACTACCTGGAAGGGGGCTTTACCTTTTGGATGTTGGAAGACGTTAATAGAAGATTTGAAGCTCATTCTCGAAAGAGCCCGATACTGTAGATCTGTTAAGAACGGATAATCGCGAAAACAGAGTTAACAAGGCATTCAGATGGAGTTGTAGAAAGTGTAAAAAGCGGGGGAGGATTTATCGTTCCAAAAGGATTCGGCGACGAGTTGGGGCTTTCAAAATCACTAACCTGAACTACAGCTTCTGAGTGAAAGCACTAACCTGCGGAGAGCTTGAAGGTCCGGAGGGACACGAAGAGCTGGAGCAGCCTGGAGGCCTCGAGCAATGCAAGAGGAGAAAGTGATGACCGTTGACTCCGAGCTAGTCTCGAGTTCTCAATTGGGGGCGCTTGGTTCCCTGGACAGCTTTGGCTTGCCTCACCTTGCCTTGCTAGCGTGAGCAAGGAAAAGCTTGCCAGGCCCGGGCGAACTTATTTGGCTCACCTGCAGCAGCAAGGAAATTCTTACAGGCATAGAAATCGAGGTTGGCAAGGTCAGGAATCCAAACAAGCTGCCCAAGTTATTTTCTAGCTGGGCAAGGTAAAACAGTGGCGGGCAAAAGTTCCAAACAGGCCGGAATTGGATATTGTCCTTGGGAATTAATTTGCATTAATAACAAGGGTATATTTGAATTACATGGGCTAACAACTTAGCAGCTAAAAATTAGCTCCAGTTCATTTAAAAAGAAGAACTACTAGATAGACTAATTTTTAACCAAGTCCTTAGCTAGCTGTTAGTTCATTAGCTAAGTGCAACTAGCTAATAAGGACTAATACTTCTTGCTAAGGACATATGCCCTTTTTAGCCTGAGATCCAACGATATATGGTCTAATAGTGAGATGGCTAAGCCTTAGGCGATTCAAATAGACCCTAAAGAGATAACTCAATATTTTAAAACCAACTAATTTTAGATACAACTAAATTTATAATGTCAAATAATCATCATTATAGATTAATTATAAATATATTTTATAATACATGTCCTGAATATTGATATTCTTTATAAACTTAACCAAACATTGTTTCAAGCGCAAAATTGTAATCTCACGTTCTCCAGATGCTGATTGGTCGGACGGTGTATTGGCACAATCTCATTGGCTCAGCATTGCTGCTGGCATCACTCATCACGCGCGTTACTGGTTGGACGGTGCTGCCACCTACCAAGGGACCCTGTACCTGGCCGGCCTGGCCAGGCCAGCCCAACTGGCCTAGGCCTGGGCAGGCCTGTTTCAAGTGGTACAACAGCACGTGTTTGCGCCTATGTACCCAGTGAGCCCGGCTCAGGCGAGGCTGTGTTTGTCATCGAAGAGGCAGCCGGGCTGAGAGGCTAACTGCCACCAACTACCACATCGAGATAGTGTTTGTCATTTGGCTGTGGTCGGCCAGGCCCATAACGACAAACAGAAATGGACATGAATGAAAGGAGAATGAGGTTGCTCTTCCATAACCGTTACAACAACAAATCAAAGTTTCAGCATGAAATAGTTGGCCTCAGACATGCTAATTTAACAATTCATGGCATTACTAGCTACATGGGATAATCAAAGTCAGTAAAGAAGAACAGAAGCATGGGTCAGTCAAGTTTTGAAGGCAACAAACGAAAAAGTTCACAGAAACAGATAAGAGACAGCAAAATGATATGTAGCCAACTAATGCATCGATCCATTGTGTCATCATTGACCAAAATACAACAACCATCAGCCTTGACAAGCCGAGAAGGGCAACAAGTTAACAGAAAGCATGTAGCCAGCTAATGCAGTCATCCTATTGTGTCATCATCGGCTTAATTAAAACAACAGCTGTGGCACATGAACAGCTTGAGTGACAGACCAACTACAACCATAAACAAGATCAAGATGACAGCATTTTTGCAACAGCCTTGCAGCCCAGGTGAATGAGGATAGATTTCAGAACCTTAACCTGTCACCAGTTCATGGGATGCTGATGCATCCCCATGAGGGGCATGAATTAGTAACAGCAAGGGTTCTTGAGGTACCCTAGCATTAAAATCTCTAAGAGCATCATCATAGTTGTTGTACTTCTGATAGATAGCCCCTTCTTCCCTAAGCACTTGCTTAGCACACTCATACCATGTAAAATAAATTCCAGGTTTTTTCCCTTCAAAGACCACATAGCAAGGAGGCATTCTCTGAAACCAACCAAATATAGAACATGTAAGTGGTCTGAATGACATGCCTCAGTCAACCATTCAGTTTGAATGATGGTGAACATCATCGGCAACTTGATAAAAAAATTAGCCTCAGCTGTTATTTTCCTTGTTTAGTCATTGGCGGCTACCAAGAATTGTAAGAACCAAATAAAGAGGCAAATAAACAACAGTTGCACTCACTGTCATCAGCCATCACAAGAGGATGTTGTTGCTGTGGAGTACAACTGAGCAAATAAAGAAGAAAGCACAACACTGTAAACCATCAAAACAAGAATAAGGTAGCCACCTCAAGTTTGTTTTATGCATCATAGGCCTTTAAACCCTATAGTTACCACCAAAGGCATAAACAACAAAAATAGGCAACTAGTTATCAAATAAAAAGTAGTCAACAGAGGCTATAAATAAGTTTCTTACAATACCAAGTTCAGCCCAACAGCCAAGGGCTCAAATGTTCCCAAATCCTTGCCTATTGTTAGCCACCCTCCTAGGCAAACTACACCATCAAGGTCAAGTGTCAAAAGAACAAGCAGACTGCACAAAAGGTCCTGTTGTCAAAAGAAAAGAGTGGGTGAGGGGGGTGGAGGAACTATATATCTCTACAGTCAACCCCCTCCTGGCCTTCTAGCCCTTCATGTGTAGTGGAACTACACATAGTAGTTTTTGGCCAGGAAGGTCCTAAGCCAAAGGGCCCTGTGGGCATCACTCATGTTCACAAAGCCCCTGCCTTGGGCCTTATTGTCCAAGAGGAAGGTGTCAACAATAAGTGCCTCCTCACTGAAGCCAGGCATCTCCATCACAGCAAGGTACAGATTGACATCAACATGGGCAGGTCCAGTCTCCCTAAGAGCATTGGCCACATTGTTCACAGCATCTGACATGTTAGTCAACATGAGCATCTCCTCCTCAGAGAAGTTCCCTCTCTTCCTCTTTGGGCCAGCAGCTGAGGAGGTAGGAAGTAGTTCAGTGGCCTTGCTATCCCCTCCCTGTTCAATAGGAACTGTGGTGTGGGTCAAAGGAGGACCATCAGCCTTGGCACCAACACTATCAGCCTGGTTCTGCCCTAAGGCTTCACCAGACCCAAGTGCAAACTTGCTTGTGGCCATGGTATTAGCAAAGATAGCCTCCATCTTAGTGTAGAACCTAATAGGGCAGTTAAGAAACTCTGCATCTTTAGGATGGTCCTATAGAGTTGGGCAAATGTAGTTTAAGAAAGGCAAATATAGGTAGTCAAGGCAAAGATGAGATCAAACTGCTACCTTGTAGTGGCCAAGGTAGTGCTCTTGCTCAAGCATGATAGCATGAGCCTGGTCATCCCAAAGAGCAGTACTAAGGTCCTTCAACTTGCTCACCCTAGCCCATTTCTGCCTCCACTTCCTCAAGTGGTTGTACACTTAAGTTGGGCTAACAACCTTCCCACAGAACTGCTTGAGGGCTTTGGCCACAGAATTCACATCTTTGTCCTTGAAAACCTTCTCAGGCCTGCTACCATCACTAACAAGGGCAGCCATCCTCCTTAGCACAAAGCTAGAGGTGGTGTTGGTCCACCTCATTGCCCTCACAGCCCCATTCCCAGCTATAGGAACAGCAACATCAACAGGGTTTGTTGCACCTAGAGCAGCACCAGCACCAGCACCAGCTGCAACAGGGGCAGCAGCACTAGCACCAGCACCAGCTACAACAGGGGCAGAACCACCATTGATGAGCTGCTCTATCACTGAAGTACCAGCAACAAACCCACCCTCAAATGCACCTGAATCCATCCTAGGACTGGCATGTAATGAAATCAACAACAGAATTAGTCAAGAACAGGCTGACAACAATATTAACAGTTGTATGAACTAACCACAGACTAACAGATCATGAAGAACAGAATGTTTCAAGAACAGAATGAATGAAGCATAAAATTGGTCTCGGCTTTGTCCACCAAATTATTACATCACCATGACACACATGAGTTCCATAGCAGGGTACAGAAACTAAATTCAAGAACATATTACATCAACTAGTGTTTGTTCCCCTCCCTTCCCACATAGCATTGCAAATGGCATCCCTTATTTCAGCCATGTCAACAGAGTCTTGGTCCAGATGGGCTGGGGGCAGGTTGGTTGGATCAGCAGAAGTAGCGAAACCTTCCTCATCAGGAACTACTTCATCAATGCCAAAACCTAGGATCTAGTTATGCAAAATGGCACAGGCAACTACAAGCTTCACTTGTGTCCTATACTTGTGGAAGGGTTTGTTGTCCAAGATCCTAAACCTGCCCTTCAGTGCACGTATAGCCCTCTCCACAGTCACTCTAAGTGATGAGTGCCTAAGGTTGTAGAGCTCCCTTGCATTGGTGGGCCTATTCCTTGGGCCATACTCAGACAAATGGTACCTAACCCCCCTGTAGGGAGGTAGGAAACCATTTTTGCATGCATACCTAGCATCTACCAAGAACATTTTACCTACACAAGACATCTACTGTGAGAGTGTGTGTTAATAGGCCATGGAATATGTAATTAGTGTTGGTGTGCAATTACCTTCTGGCAAACTCAAGCCATCTTCCCTGGCTACAGCATCTGCCAAAACAGTTGCATCATGGGCAGAGCCCTCCCAGCCAGCCAGGACATAAGTGAATTTCATATCACAATTCACAACTACCATCACATTTTGGGTGGGATCCTTTTTCCTACCCCTAAAAGCTTGTTGCATGCGCCTAGGAACCCTTGCTAGGAAATGAGTGCCATCTATAAAGCCAATGACATCCTAAAAAGCATGGGTCAGTCATTGCAATAGGTCTAATGTAACTAATGAACCTAGGGTATACAATTACCTTAAAATATGGATTCCATGTATGGCTTCCAAGAATCTTTGGGTGAGTGGTAGTGCTAGCTGGCTTTATCATTTCATTCCGAAGCTCACCCACAGCATACAACACCTGATGAAAGTGCTTGTGGACAGTTTGGATGGACCTCCTAAAGGACTGATGGACAACCCTAAATCTTTGGTTGTGCCCTACAACATGTAAAAACATGGCAACCTGCTCTTCTACTGACACCCCCTCCCTATCAGTGATAAGACTCCTCTCTCTAAAAGTTCTCACTAACTTAAAAAAAGCAACTCTCTTCATCCTAATCATAGAAATACACTCTGAATCTGTGGAATTGTATATCATTCTCAGTGTTCTCTGTCTATGCTGTTTATTTTCATCCCTAATCAGGGCCAGTGCTATAGCACCGAGTGGAAGAAGGAGAGAGTAGAGAGTGGGAACCCGTATATAAAGGCCGGCGAAATCGCCGCCATTTCGCTTCGCGCATGGCGGCCAGAGCGGGAGCGGAGAGCGGGGACGCGCGCGAAGACGTTTCCCCTTCCCGCCAGAGCCCGCGCGAGCCATCCCGCCGCCGCCCAAAATTGCCCGCGTGCGTCGCAGACGAGCTCGGCTCTGAAGAAACGAGGGTTTCGGTCGTTTCTAGAGAGCCAGACGGAGAGGTCGAGTGTTGCTCTGCGAAGCCAGGCTCACTTGCGGGCCATCGACCACAAACATGGCAACTTGCATCCCACGGGCGTAGCCGGGCCTCTGGGCCACCCTCGCAAACGCGCCCCAAGTGTCTCGGGCTCCGGGTCCCGAGCCTCGGTCCCTCTCTTTTCCCCTGTGCAGAGGTATCCGAGGTGCACGCAATGACCTTTTTTCCGTTCCAGGCCACAAGCGTTGGAAGCTACTAGCACCACCCGTCGATTCTTTCCACTAACCGCTAGTGGGCACGTTCTTTCCACCCCTCACTCTAAGGGCATCCTAGAGTGGCTGTGAATTCATCGGAGGGCCAGCCTTTGAACTCCTGGACTTGAATGGGTCGTAGGAGCGTTTTCAGATATGTATCCCTCCCTCCTTACTTGTGACGGTTCTCGCGCCTATCTACACCGACGTCGAGCTGGACGACATTAAGAAAGAGGTGACCCCTCTGGCATAGGACTTACCTACCGAGATAGAGGATGAGATCATCCCCCTAAGAAATTAGTTAGGTAGATAATCCAGGCGACGAACTTGTAATAAGTGGACAAGCTCTTAAATTTCATTATGGCCAAACAGATTTTTAGCTCTTCTCCCCTTTTTTATAAAAAGTTTAATGCGTTCCCACCCTTTCTGTCATTAAGGCTGTAAAGCTCGGGGTACGGGTGAAAAAACTTAGATCACGCTAGTGAGCAAAAACGCCGTAGCCGCTGGGGCGTAGGTTTCTGGTAGTCCGACCAGTTTTACTCGGCATTCGTTTCCGCAACCCTTGCTTCTAGATTTTAACGTGAGAAAGGGTCGAGCATAGAAAATGTCTACCGGATAGATATACTCTTTAATGTGTTTTGACGTTGCATAGAGAGCTTGTGGCGGTTCTTGTTGCTCTGGACGAGGCGGAGCACCAGGTCCCCGACGTTGAAGGCCTGACCCCGCACTCGACGGTTATGGTACCGGCCCAACGCTTGCTGGTACTTGGCCGAGCGGAGGAGGGCAACGTCGCGCGCTTCATCTAGCTGGTCCATGGCATCATCGAGGGACGCCTCGGCTCTCTATTCATTGTACGCCCTGACCCTTGGTGCTCCATAATCGAGGTCGGTCGGGGGGATAGCCTTGGAACCGTAGACTATGAAAAATGGCGTGTAGCCGGTGGCTCGACTGGGGGTCATCCTCAGGCTCCAAAGCACCACGGGAAGCTTGTTCAACCAGTTGAAAATTCTAGGCTTGAGGCCTTGTAGGACCATGCCATTCGTGCGCTCGACCTACCCGTTCATGCGGGGTGCGCCACGGCGGCCCAATCGATGCGGATGTGGTATTCATCGCAGAATCGGAGGAACTTTTTCCCAGTGAACTGTGTGCCGTTGTCCATGATAATGGAGTTCGGGACTCCAAAGCGATGGATGATGTCAAGGAAGAACAGCACGACTTGCTCGAACTTGATCGTGGAGATCGGTCGAGCATCTATCCACTTTGTAAACTTGTCTACGGCGACAAGCAAGTGCGTATAGCCCCTAGGCGTCCTCTTGAGAGGTTCAACCAGATCGAGCCCCTAGACTGCGAACGACCACGTGATGGAGAGGCAATTCTAGAAATTAAAGAAGTAAATTCAATTGGTCATTTTCTTTCCGACACACTTAGCCAATGTTCAAGCATAACTTTCACAGGGGGAACATGAATTTTGTGAACCATGGCATACATTACTCTCAAATCATCATTTTTAACAATTCTAACATCATCACATGGAAAGAGAGTTATGCCTATCCAATAATGCATAAAATGTAAAGTTGGGTTGTGAATTTCATTGGTTAGTGGTTTGCTACATTCATTAAGCTCGGTTATATCATGCCAAAATTCAAGTCTATTAAAATCATGAGTGGCATTTTCAAGATCTATATTGCAAGTATGAGCAAAACCTAGAGCAGCACTTAAATTAGCCCATGTGAAGTTAAAGTCATGATTAAACATTCAAAAATAAATTCCATCATCAGAGGATTGTAAGGTGCTAAAAAATTCTAAAGTGAGGTTTTTGCTACCTAGATCATGAGTAAGGTCCCAAAAGGTTCCCCATCCAATGGTATTAAAGATAGAACCGAATTCAACATCCATACCTATTTTGGTGAGTAGTGTTGGATCAAACATCTTGGTATGTTCGAAAAGTGCATGTTTTAAGCTTGGTGAAGATGTGAACCACAGTCCTGTCTCAGGATCATACACTCTTGTGGGAGCAGCGTCTTCCACCTCCAAGTCATCACTAGGCGGTACTTGGTCATGTTCACCAAAGTAGTTATCACTACTTGGCGGCATTTGTTCATATGCACCATAGTATTGACCTCCATAGCTTTCCTCATCGCTTGGCAATATCTTGGTCGATCCCAAGTGGCGATCTAAAACTCCTTCATCCTGTAATCTCGAGACTTGCATCTCGATGCCACGAGACGAAGCTCCTCCTTGCAAATCATCATGAGAGTGGTGGGAGCGCCTGAATGAGCTCCCTCCTACAGCTTTCTTCACCTTCCTTGCCACTTGCTTGAGTGGATTCTTCATCCTGCAACAAGAGAAAACACAAGAACACAATTAGAACGACAAGGGATTAGTGTTAGCATTAGTCATCCAGAGTTAGTTGTTCTTATAGTTACATCCACAAACCTTTTCTTGAGTGAATAATGAGAATCAAGACAAACTTAAAATGCAACTAGAAAGAGGGAAAATATTTTTGGGTTTTCTTATTTTGTGGATAACTAAAAACTAAACTTGAGAAGAGTTTTCACAAGAACTTGAGAGAGAGAGAGACTTTGAGCAAGAGAGAATCATGAGAGTTTGAGAGTGGGAGAGCAACACCCTTGCATGGCCTTTTAATGCCAAGGAGAGTGGAGGAGAGTGATGGCTTGGAGCCACCATGGGGTGGTCGGTCGACCACACCATCTCCCCCTCTTCCAAATTTCAAATTTTCACTCAAATCTAGATTCCAGACAAAAGCAAAAGCGAAAGTTGAAACTATCAAATCCCTAGGTGGGGTGGTCGGCCGACCAACCCCGCTTCCCATCTTCTTTTGCTTTTTCAATGTTGGAAACATGTTTGGTCTCCCATGCATAAAAAGTGAAAGTGGGACAAGCATGCAAGACAATGCCTTACACACTTTACTTTTGCTTTTCTTTTTGTCTTGTTCCTACTTTTTGTTTGTTGTCTCCTAAAGTTGAACTCATGAAAGAAATTCATGTTTTGGTGAAAACATTTTCTCAAGTATTTGATTTTAGAAAGGAAAAAAGGTTTGTCGAAAATTTAGATATGAAAATTTCAAAAATAAAAATGCAAAATGCAAATGCATTTAGAAAGTAAATATGAGATAACTACATATTACCTTTCGGCGAAGGCTTAGGATTTTAAATCCCTAGAGCGGGATTTTTCTGCCGGGTTCATTTGTTAGGGGTATAACCTAGTCCTCAAGAAGAAGACTGAGCTGGTTGCCCTTCCTTCTTTCGCCACATCATTTTCACCATAGAGCATTGTTCGGTCTTAGGCTTGAAGGCGAACCGTTCTTCTTTCCCGTTGATGTGAAATTGTATTTCTCTAGCTCAAAAAAATTTTGTGCATTTGTGGTGCTTAGAAAAGGCCTCCCAAGAATGAGAGGTGTTTTTGTGTCTACCTGCATGTCAAGTACCACAAAATTGACTAGAATAAAGAAATCTCTTATTCTTACTGGGATATCTTCGATGATACCTGCAGGATAGCGAACCGATTGGTCGGCTAGCTGGCACATTGGTGTAGGTGAAACTTTGTGTAGTTGAGCTTGTCAAAGACAATTTTGGGCATAACACTGACACTTGCACCTAGGTCACATAAATTGAACACTCAATGGTGGGACATCCTGGATCCTTCTTCTCTTATGAGTGATGTATTAAGAATAGCAGCACTACATTCCTCCGTTAGCTTGATTACCTCAGTGGTGGACAGTGGTCTTTTGTTGTTTAGAATATCCTTGAGGTATCTTGCATAGGTTGGTACCTATATGGCATCTAGCAGAGGGATGTTGATATACAACTTCTGAATTACCTCTACAAACTTACCAAATTGCTCATCCACTGTAGGTTTTCGATATCTGCGAGGGAATGGTAAGAAATTGGTGTCGTGGAAATTATGTTGCGCTTCTTTTTCTCGTGTCTTAATTTCTTCAACCTCGTCATCTTTCTTTTCTTCATGTGCTGTTGGTGCCTTACCTGTCTTGGTTGGATATGGAGAATCATGATTTTAACATTTTATTATAGCTAAGTTAGTCCTTTATATTATAGCTGAAGAAAAATTATCCATTTTATTATTTATATTTTCTAAAATCATATCATTAGAAACAAGCTTTTTAGAAATATTTTCATTAATCTTAGCTTGTCCTAAGATCAAATCTTTCAAGGATGATTGATTAAAATCGAAAGAATTATTATAATTACCTTGATATTTACCTTGTCCTTGTTGCTATTGAGGATGGTAGTTGTTGTTGATGTAGTTCATGTCTTTACGAGTTTCGGGGCAGATGACTTGTGAGTCATAAACTTGCTAGATAGCCTATTGATCTTTCTTGAAATTAGCTTGTTCTTCGAGTCTCTTCATTAGTAGTTCTATCTTGGCTGACAGCATGTTCACCTCTTTTTTGACTAGATATGTGTTTTTACCTTTCTTGTTGAGTTGGAGACGTTCTTTAGACCAGCCTTGGTTAGAAACCATCTTTTCCATGAGAGCTATTGCATTATTGATAGTGAGTGACATGAATGCTCCTGCAGTAGCAGCATCGAGGTTCCCACGAGCCTTATTAGTCAATCCATGATAAAAGTTTTGTATGAGTAACCAGTTCTCCATCCTATGATGAGGACATTTTGAAATGTCTTCTTTAAAGCGTTCCCATGCTTTTGAGACGGTTTCATCATTCTGTTTCTAACAACTAGAAATTCTTTCTCGTAGGGTATTGGTTTTGCCTATTGGAAAGTACTTTGATAGGAAGGCATTGGAGCATCTCACCTAGGTGTTGAGTTTGTCTTTATTGGCGTAGAATCATTGCTTCGCCTTTCCCAAAGGTGAGAATGGAAAGAGGCGAAGGAGTATAATATCTTGAGTGATGTCCTTGATGGTGAATGTACTACAAATCTCCAGAAAATGTTGAAGATGAGCACTTTCATCTTTGTGTGCCTTTCCACTAAATGGGTTAGCTTGCACCATATTGATGAGAGCTGGCTTGACTTCGAATGCGGCACCTCCAATGTTGAGTGTCAGTCCAGTGCGAATGTTTTTAGCACTTGGAGCATAAAATTCATGGAAAGTCTTCTCGGCCATAGCTTCATGAATTGGTGTTGAGGTACCTCTTGACTGGTTTGATTCCGACTGATTTTCAATGGAGTTTTGTCGGTGAATCAAGACCAGTTCTATACTACCCTGTATAAGATATAAATAAAATAAAACAAGTGTAAGCCTGCTAGAGCAGTGGTGCATAGTTATGATATCATCAATAAGTAATATTTGATCAATTCTTCTATTGCCTATGTCCTCCTTGACAACGGCGCTAGAAATGCTTGTTGGTATTCCTTAATGTGTTTACAAGATATGAATTCTGCAAGCACACAGGATACCATTGTAGTACTTCACCGAGAGTATTGTAGGTATCGTTATTTATATTTTACCATAGGGAGGGACGATGTCAAGGAAGAGATTGATAAATATATACTTATGATGCAATCACTAACTAAACACTTACTCTAAACTGGGGTAAGCCAAAAGATATATATATATGATAAGTGCATAACAATTCAGAGAAAGAGATAGATACCCATAAATGTAGTATAGCTAGACTAAGTAATAATCAAGATAGAAGGATTCCTAAGTTATTTCTATCAACATGTCGAAGTATGCAAAGATATATGTACTCATCTATAACAATGGTTAACTCTCCATCTATGCATGAGGGACATCTCTAAGGATGAGCATAGCAAAATTAACTTCCTCCGTCGTGACACAAGTCCTACTAGTCCTACAGACGGGGGTGGACTATAGAAGATCAATGAGGCTATCACCCACGTGATCTACCACTTCCTAGAATGGAGGGTGCATCCACAGGAAAACAATGTATAACTACCACACTTACATATAGTTTAGCTACTCAACCCACTCAAAAACTGAGTCAAGCGCTCTGTGATCCTATGCATAAACTTAAAGATAACTATAACTATATCATGTATGTACCCGAAGTAAACTAAGAACATGATAAACAGAAACATAATATAGATTAAGATCAAAGTCATAGCAAGATATGAAATATAAAGGATACAATGGCTATACCAAGCCTCTAGAGATAAATCCGGAACGTTGAGCGATAGCCCGACTCTACTTGAATCTCACTTTAGCTAGACTATACTAAGACTCTAGATATTGGAGTCCTCTTCTTTTCTTCTTAATTGGACTGAACTCAGCTGAGATCAATGCCTTTCTAGAGGGGTCTGGAGGTCCTTTTATAGGTGGCGCCAGACATCTAGTGGGCTCAAGAATAAATGGCATGGCTTCATCTCGACTCTCTATCCATAACCGACTTAAACAAATGGTGGAGACTGATCCTTAAAGGCGGTGGGAGATAACTAAAGCTGATAGGTGGGTCCAGGGGGGTCGACCAACCAACATGTGGGATCGGCCGACCCCACCAAGGGCTCCTTCCTCATGGATCTTCGTCGTGATCTCTTGGATGGTGGATTAGAGCCCAATGAAGTTGGTTTCGTTGCGAATAAACCCGATTTGTTGAGATAGAATGGCCCACTTGGTCCGTTTCCTAGATAAACCCTCCTGTATTCATAGAATCACCAAAACTTATGGAAATACTTAGTTTAAACCATTATACCTATGTTGGTGATTAATAAATATAAGTTATATTGATTGTTTATGATTGTTACTAATGATCGTCAATAACGTTGTTGAGCAAGCCATAAAGGCTTGGGTTTCACCGAACCCTATCCTCGTTCTTAAGTCAAGAGAGTGAACTCTTGAGATGAGCAGTTTTCACTAGATGATTGTGGTGATTACAAACCTCCCGGAGTTGCCACACAAGTTGGCAAGTTCCACGGGCGACGCTCTAGCCGGCTAGGAGACAAACTCCAAGAGTAACAAACACAATCTGTCGGCTTGAACGCGAACCAAGTGCTCTAGAAGTTGAAGAACAGGTTGGAGAACTCTCTAGCACAGTTTGGAAGCTCAATCTCACAAAGAACCAGAGAGGAATCGATGGAAAAGGATTGAGGTGCTCCAATGGAGTGTGAGAGAGGGAGAGAGCTATTTCCAGTCGAGCAGAGGTGCAAATGGTCGAAGGTGACCATTGTGACAGAAAGGGAGTGAAGGAAATACCCCTTTCCCAACGGTCATAATTTAAGGCGCGACAGTAGAGAGCGGCACTGCTAGGCCATGGCACTGCGGCTCTGCGAGCGGCAGTGCTGCTCTGCCCTAGCAGCCACCAAGTAAAGAAAGAAAAAGCTTGCTGCCAAGGCTAGGATTTGAGGATATTTTGGTGGGTAATATGAGCATTTAGTTGCACATTAAAGCTTGCACATTGTATCCCTTTGTAGTATGGCTTTTACTAAACTCAATTTCAAAATATAAATGAATTCAAACTCGTTTGAGTCGGTTGTCACGTTCTTTTTCAATTGGGGGCTCCACCATCATATGTATTATCCTCCTTTTCATTTTACCTGCTTGTCATCTCGATAACTCTGGTTAGTCCTCTAATTGTGTGGTCATTATCACAAAAACCACAATAGAGCTTGATTGCACTTACACATTCCAACAATCTCACGCCATGCCTTCTAGCTAGCATTTCAACCATCTCACGTCACGCCTTCCAACCAGCATTGTTTGTGATCACTAACCATATTAGGACTATCTTAGAATAAAATGCTTCTCTTAGCAACATCATATGAAAACAAGACTTCTATTTTTTAAGTTTCCTTTGATAGCGTCATATCTAATATCTATTGAAGTAATATCCCACTAGTGGTTTTCAAAAGGTTCTAGAGCCAGAGGGGAAAAAGATATGGGTTAGAATCCGTGAGCCTATTCATTTTGATCTGGGCACCAAATGCAAAAAAATATCTAGGTTCTCATATGTTATGTGGCTTTACAGCGCGATACATGACTTTATACCGCGTTACACGATTTTATATCTAGTATCTATCTGGATACACCCACACAAGGCCCACATGATAGACATAACAAATAAGAGAACCAAAAGACTATTTTGCTCACCCTTTCACCTAAAGCCAGCCATTGTACATCACGCCTTCCTACCAATATTGTTCATGACACGAAAAAGGTTACTGCTTATTACACCGTATTACACGGCTACATCTCACATCAGGCCTTCCTATGATCACTCTGGCCATCTTATGTCTCGCCTCCCTACCAATATTGTTCATGACACGAAAAAGGTTACTGCTTATTACACCGTATTACACGGCTTTATACCATGTTACACGGCTTTATACCTAGCTGGATACACCCACGCAAGGCTCACATGATAGACACAACAAATAAAAGAACCAAAATACTGTTTTGGTCATCCTTCCACCTGAAGCCAGCCATCGCGTATCACGCCTTCTTAACCCCCATTCGAGACATCTCACATCACGCCTTCCTACTAGCCCTCCAGCCATCTCAAGTCACGCCTGTTTATCTATACTCGGTCAAATACTGTGTACCTGGTTAAATATAGAAATAAAGGAACGGTTATCATAAGAAGACCGAAAACCCGGACTTAAAGATTGCAACCAAGAATTGAGAGAGAGGAAACAATCAGGACTCCTTTGATAAACGGCACCCATCTGTCAGCGACTGGTGAAACGCGGCGGAGGAGAGAGCCCGGGTGCAGGATTTGGGAGGCGCAAGCTCGCAGCGCAACCCTACGGGCTACGGCGTCCGACAGACGGAAGGGCAGGGCGGGGGCTCTCTTCCTCTCTTTTTTTTTTGCAGCTCAGGAAAGAAAACCGGCAGCACCCCCGTCCCCGTTTATTAGCTGAGCTCGTACACGGGCCGGTCCTCTCTCGGTGCGTGCGTGGCTGCGGCAATACACGGTGCGTGTGGGGGAGCAAGGCGGCGGCGACGAGGGTTTTGCTGCTCCGCACACCGCGAGCAGCGGCGACGCGACCGCAGCTCGTCGCCGCCCAGAATCGAGGAGGAGGATGAGCCGGCGGAGGGCGGCGGCGGGAGCGAGAGCGCCATGAGTGGCGGCGGCCGTGGCGGCGGCGGGAGGCAGCCCTCCTACGCGGCGCCGGACGGGGCGGATGCGGCGGCGATCAAGGCCGCCTCCAGGAAGATGGTGTAGAGCCTCAAGGGGATCCTGGCCGACCGCTCGGAGGGCGAGATCTACGCCACGCTCTGCGACTGCGGCATGGACCCCGACATAGCCGTCGAGAGGCTCATGTCCCAGGGTATATACTCGCTCGCTCTCTCTCCCCTCGCTCTAGCTCTGTCCTCGCGGGCTCCAATTGTTTAGCGTGGACGTTGTCGTGCGATGCTCGTCAGCGCTAGGGTTTGATTTTTTTTTCTTGGCGCGGTGATTGGGCGCTGCGCTGATGTGGTGCGGGCTGTGTCGTAAACTCGTAAGCAAAGTTTTAAATAGCGGGCTAAGCCCTTTAGCGGCTGCCTCTCCCAAAGGCTATAGCGGGCTAAGCTATTTAGCGGCTGAGCAAAAAATATATCAAACATCAGGTAATTTTACACATATACACATAATAAACATAGAAGATGAAGACATTACAAATACCAATTACCAAGTAACTAGGGACAGATAGTTCAAAGTCTTACTAACACATTAGATCACAGCTTCATAGTTCATACATGCTACATCATACATCACATAGACACATACAGTCATACACACATGAGTTCAAAGTTCATACAAAGTTGACATACATTACACTGCATATCAACTAAACAGTGACAGATAGACAAACAAACATAAGGCATGGAGCCATAGGCCATAGTCTGATACATCAGTACATCACACATGCATTTCAGCATCTGAATAGTTTGTTGTACTCACCTAATCATCTTCAGTATCAGTAGAGTCCATAGCATCTTGATTTTCCTCTGATTCAGAAGTAGAGGCTGCAGACCGAGGCTTCATCAAAGATGCCACGGTCCTGAATTTCTTCCTAGGGCGCACAGGCCTTTCCCTTTTGGCTTTTGCTTGTGATGCTGATGCTCCCTGTGATGCTTACTGCACCAACCTAGAACAGATCTGATACTCTACTTGCTTGATGGGATATATGCCAATTTATTTACAGTAAAATGTAAACCAATCAACAGCAGCAGTACAGAAAATCCTAAGCCAATGTATTTACAGTCAAGAGTAAACTTAATATCCTATCAACAACAGCAGTAGCACGCTTAATGCACCAAGCTAGAACAGATCTGACAAGCTAGAACAGATCTGATACTCTACTTTCTTCATGGGATAAATGCCAATTTATTTAGGCCCCGTTTGGCAGGGCTTCACTTCACTAGTGAAGCCATTTTTTTTGGCTTCAGCTCCACGAACAGCTCCACCGGTGGAGCTGAAGCGGTTTTGGTAAACCGTTTGGCAAAATGGCTTCCCTGTGAGAGCATGTTTTTAGGGGCATGGAGGAGGAGCCGGGAGAAGCCACTATTTTTGGCTCCTTCCCACCCCAAATCTCTGTGAGAGCACGTTTTTAGGGGCTTCATCGGTGGAGCCGTTTCATTTTACCCCGTTTGGCAGAAAACGGCTCCTGAAGCCGCTGGAGAAGCCCTGCCAAACGGGGCCTTACAGTAAAGAGTAAACCAATCAACGGCACTAGCAAGCTTAGTGCAGTAGTACAAAAAATCCTAAGCCAATCAGTAACTCACTACTCACTACCATTCACATCCAGCAGCCCAATACATAAAGAACAGACGAAAAATGAAAAGAGTTTGAAGAATCTTGCCTTACAGGTGGGATCGACATGGCCGTCATGACAAGCAAAGAAAGCGCCACTTGCATGTCAAGGACGTCAGGTCCGAGACTAGCAGGACCCCGGCTACGGAGTTCGTAGCCGCGACCCGTGGTAGCTGGGCGAGGCTTTGCTCCTCAGCTCCAGTCGGTTTGGAGGAAGAAGAGAGATTAGGTAATAATTCTTGCTTGATTCTTATTCATCCTGATGACTCTCATATATAGGCCATTCGGCACTACAAATTGGAGCTAATTGCTCCTAATTCTAAGGCCTTGATCGGCTATTATTTCCTTCTATCTACTTGCCATTTCTTCCTGACCTGCATGCTGGGTGATCACGCCATATCCTCAGCTGGCGCGCCTGCCTGCATGGTGACCGCGCCCAGATCCTCAGTAGCTCTGCGGGCATCCCGGGCGCGCTGTTTCCTTGTATAGGCGTGGCCCCACATGACATCTCTCCCCCCCTCGACTAGCAGCTCGTCCTCGAGCTGGAACGCCAGGTACTTGTGGAGGAAGGAGTCCACATCTTCCCAGGTTGCAGAGGCCGCGGTTTCGCCCTTCCACTGGATGAGCACCTGTCGAACGCCGCGAACGCCGCGAGCCAGGCGGATGCGCACTGCCCGTTCGGGCTCCGGAACAGCGGCGACGTTGTGGATGACCGGGAGAGGTGGCGGTGTAGTTGGCGGATCACCGATGAACTTCTTGAGGAGGCCAATGTGGAAGACGTCGTGCAGCCGAGTGTGCGGAGGCAAGGCGAGGCGCACGGCAACCTCATTGATGAGCTCGCTCGGTGACGCGGTACGGCCCGAAGAAGCGGGGCTTCAGCTTCCCTGTGGTCGCCTGGGGCAGTGAGGCGGCCGGGCGATGGCGTAGACGGAGTAGAACCCAGTCGCCCACCGCGTAGGAGACGTGCCGGTGCAGCTTGTCGTAGTGCAGCTTCTGTACCGCCTAGGCTTGTTCAAGCCGGTAGCGGACGTCCTCCAGAAACTCGTCGCGGTCTTCCATGCTCTTGGCGACGGCAGCTACACGAGTCTCGCCCGGCTCATAGGACCGAATGGTAGGCGGGTCCCGGCCGTAGACCACCCGGAACGGCGTGTCGCGGAGCGAAGTTTGATTGGCCGTGTTGTAGATGTAATCCGCCCACGGCAGCCAGCGAAGCCACTGACGAGGCCGGTCGCCGGTGAAGCAGCGAAGGTACATGACAATGACGCGGTTGGCTGCCTCCGTCTGGCCATCCGATTGCCGATGAAAAGCCGTTGTCATGTGCAACTTGGCGCCCATGAGGCGCATCAGCTCCCTCCAGAACTTGGAAGTGAACACCGGATCGCGGTCGGACACCATCGACTGAGGCATGCCGTGGAGTCGAACAATGTCGGTGAAGAAAGCCTGGGCCACTGACTCTGCAGAATACGGGTGAGCCAGGGGAATGAAGTGGCAATACTTGCTGAAACGATCCACCACTGTTAGTATGACAGATTTTGGACGGTTCCTGCTGAATTGCTTGCCAATCTGGTCCGATTCTGCGGATGCTGTACGCTGTGACTTGTATTTGCTTGCCAGTTTAGGTTCAACATGACTGAAGCATGCTGGGACGTTTTAATTTGTCATAGACTCTTCTTTATTTTTGTCAACGAGCAACCCTTTCTTGCATTTATAAATGTCTTATGCAACAGATTGTGCCACCCCATGGTGTAATAATAGGAGGGTTCAGTTTACTACATAAGTCCTGGTTCATATCCCATTGTAATCCAACTGTGTTGCGGGATCATGATACCTTGCCATATATTGGATATCATGTAAACAGATAAGTGTTGTGCCTACCATAAACATGCCTTTTATCTTCAGCAATAGAATGTGTTTAACCTCAGTCATGTATTGCTCACCATTTTCTTGGTATTGAGTTTGCTATCTATTTATAACTTGGCATAGGCGCATTATCTATTTTGTTGTAAATTGATATGTACCAAGTAGCGTATATTTGTTGGAAGGTAGAACTTTCAGTAATTTCAGCGTAGAGATGCTTGGGTGCCAGTTACCTAAGGTTGCTTCAAGTTATGAAAGCCTTCCATTAGTCCTGCGCATTCTTTTTTTTGTGATTTGTCCTATTCTAAATGCACCATCTAATCCTTACTTAGCCATCTGATATTTTCTCTGCTGGAAATAAATCACTACATTTATGGCTGATGTAAAAAAAAGGGCGTACCCAGTGCAGAGAGCTCCCGCTCTGTGCGGAGTCTGGGGAAGGGTGTTAGTGGCAATGTATTCCTAATAAATGGAGCATAGTGTAGCATCTCTAGATCATTGGGGATCTTAAATGTTTGCTTATGATTTTTTTTTTTGCGGGGATTGCTTATGATTAATCTAACTCTTTTTTTTATTCATGTGTATCCAGATACTTTTCATGAATTGAGAAGAGAGCGGGATAAGAAAAAGGAGGTTAGTAGATGCATGAATTCCTTATATCCCCAGCTTTTCTATAGGTTCATTGTTTGCTTTTCGTCCTTTGATTTTTTGTTTGAGAGTTTCCTTTTCACTGCAATGTGAGTATAGGGTCATTGATTATGCAAGCTTGCATTGATTGTAGGTTCACTGTTCGCTTTTCCATCCTTCGTTTTTTTGTGAGATTTTCCTTTTTACTGCAATGTGAGTTTAAGGCCATTGATTGTACAATTTTGCACTGAATAGGAGACTTAGGTTCCTCCCATGCTATGGACTGGCTGATATGTCGTGTTGCTGTATGGTGTCATTCTTGCTTGATGTAGAATCAGCATACTACTGTTAACTGAGCAGTTGCATTTCATTGTACTTGCTTTGAAATAGATTCATGCATTGATATGCCTTTCTTTGGGTACTATGTTATTACACTCAAAACCCTTTTCTGTGATCTTTAGTGCATCTTGTCATTTTGATCTGAGTCAATCCATGTCTCCAGGTTGTCTATTTTTCCCCTGACAAATTCTCTCTTATCTGTAGACTAAAGTTAATCAGGAAACAAGGCCTCGACCATTCCAGAAATCTATATATCAAGGATATAAGGCTAGTTCAGATGGAAGTGGGCGAGGTAGCATTGTGCATTTTGTAGTTTGTGTTATAACAATGTATGGTTTGTAGTTTCCTCATTCTAACTGGTGCTCGCATTTTGTTTTTTCCCTCTTCATGTCAGCAGACTCTACAGGCGGTTTCAAAGGTCCTGTCAAGAAGGAACCAGAGTTACATGCTCCACTAAACTCATCAGCCTTGGATATCAAGACAAGTGACACTGCAAAAACATTTTCTGCTACTGTGTATGTGCTACTTATTGGTTCCATACCCTTGGAAATCAAGACAGGTGACACTACAGAAACATTTTCTGCTACTGGGTATGTGCTACTTATTGGTTCCATATAGGATTCTTAGTAATATGTTGATTGTTTTGTTAGTGTTTGTCGTTTTCATTGTTTTAAGTCAATATCTTCTCTCATATCTCACTGTTGCCCTTTCCTTTATTTGTTTCTCTCTTTCTTGTGACTTGTAACTCGTTTTGGGTTTTATAGCTAGTCTTACCCAACTTACTCCAGACTGGTATTGTAGTTGTTGAAACTGTTGCATTAGTTTTAGTTATTCCCTTGTACTTATTGTTTTTGCATCATTTGTCCATTGGTCTATTTGATAACTGAAGTACAACAGAAATGAAATAGACGTTTTGGCTGGTTTCCTATTAGACCTTTGATCTTAATGGCTATAGTCCATTTCTAGTGTTCTCTTCACAAAACACATGTTCAAAGGTGGATAACACATATCATATATAAGTCAAATATAGGTCCTACAGAACAGAGTGGAGTAGTTTTTGACAAACCAGAACGTAATTGTTGGTTATTTTTTTTTTACTTGTCATCCTAGAATGCGTGCAGTTGAAGCATTTATTCTGTCACACGAAAATTACAGTAGTAGCTTCATCATTAAACGTAGGTTAAGTGCCATTATATTTTTGTTATGTTTGATTAACATAATGCTCGAGAAAGGGATGGTAGAAAAAGTTTATTTGATATCGTTCTGATGTCCTTCTCTACAAGTAACTTGTTACGGCATTGAAGGACCTGATACTTTCTAGCTTGAATATTATGAAGAGATCATCATTTGCAGTCTGAGTTTCATATACTTTGTTTTCTTCATTTTTGCATCATCTGTTCTGTATTCTTATCTGTTTATATTATTCAGTAACCATTTTCCAGGGCAAACTGGCAGTGTCTTTAAATTTCGACAATGTATAGCTTCACTCATGCAAATGAAATGTGTTCACTTTATCTGGTAATTTGTAAATGTAGCTTCAAGACTTCCTTGGCAGGCTTCCTAATTCCTTTAGGCTTATTATGTTTGCAGCAATGTTGCCCAGGCTGATGCTAAGAACACCACTTCTCAGCCTCCATCTCAAGTGCAGCATGGTTGGGGTGGTATTCTAGGCCCTTCCATGGCTGAAATAGTGAAGATGAGCAGGCCTCAAGCTAAAGTTGGGAGCAGATCTGTTGCAAATAGCACTGCCATGCCAGCCATTAGTGATTCAATCATCTCCAATACACCAAATCTTGCACCCAAGGAATACAACAAAACTGATTTTGCATCAGAAGTAGGCCATGGTGCAGCAGATAAATTGCCAAATTGTGCTGTTGAGGTGCCCTCTGTACCTAAAGATGCTTCCTCACTTGATATGTTACCTTCAGCAGAGGGAACAGATGTTGGAGCCCCTTCCATGAGTGCTAACGCACAAGGTTCATCAACGCCATATGCCAATGAAGATGACATTGAAAACGACGCAAATTTGGAAGAGGGCAATACAGAAAGCTTGACAACTCCTGGACAAGTTTCTGCTTCTGGTAAAGATATACAATCAGAATATACTGAAGTTGTCAGTCATCTGGATGAAGGCTCGATAGAGAAAACAGATGACTTTCAGCTCAATAGCCTTTCATTTGAGCACAACCAAAGTAAGTCAAAATGGGCATTGTTTGTCTTACCTGTATTTCTGCATGTTGTTGTTCAGCTTATATGATTCTGACGACCCTACTTAGTAATAAGTAGTTGTAAATGCTTTATTTTATTTATTATGTATCTTTTTTCTTTTTTGTTTCCTATGTAGCTATCACATATTCACACCTCTATGTGGCTATCACATATTCACACCCCTATGTGGTTATCACACATTCACACCCCTATGTGGCTATCACACATTCACACCCCTATGTGGCTATCACACGTTCACACCCCTATGTGGCCACCCTTTTACTACTTTACCTGTTACCTATTATGCCACTTTTTAACTAAAATGGGATGATGGGCCATCTATTGTGTTACGGTGTGAGATGTGGTGTTCCTGAAGGTGTTCATCAAGTTTCTCATTTTGTATTACCGTTTACCTCTTTGATGGCAGATCTGACTGGAGATGTGTCTACAACGACAACACAATTTGACCATTTGACTCTGCATGAGGGATCAAAATTGTCCGATGATGATCCGGCTGTAATAATCCCTGATCATCTTCAGGTTTCAAACGCTGATTGTGCACACTTGACGTTTGGTAGTTTTGTGTTTTTAACACTTGATGCATCCTTGACAACAAAACCTCTTGATAGTCATGGGGATGTTGCAACAGTTCCTGATGATGATTCAATTGACCAATCAGATGGCAGGTATGTCATTGTTTGTGAAAGAGGCAGCATTTCTAGCTTGCCATCAACTTCATCCCAGTCGAGCCATGTGGAAGAGGCACGTGAGAAGCGTGACGAGAACAAGATTGATGCTTTTGTGGCTAAGCCTGTCACAACTACTGTTTTTCAATACATGAAGGGAGCAGATCTTGTTGGCATTGAGGAGGCTGTAAATGACTTAATGAAGATTCTAACAGAAGGAAATGAAATGTCGATGTCACAAGGCAAGATAGTTTCCATAGTTGGACTTGGAGGTCTTGGAAAGACAACCCTTGCCCATGCAATATATGGAAAGCTTAGAGCACAGTTCGATTGTTGGGCTTTTGTTTCAGTGTCTCAAAATCCTGACATGATGAAATTATTAAAGTGCATGCTCTATCAACTTGGCAAGAAAAACAGTGCAAATATCCATGAAGAAATATTGGATGAGAGGCTACTTATCTATAAGCTCACTGAATTTCTTCAGAAGAGGAGGTACGATCGAGTGCATGGAACATCAATTTATGCTTATATATGTAGATTGTTTTACCTATGTTATGGCACCTACCACTTCACAATATCAGTTCGTATATAACCGCCATGTTGATAGACCAAGGTGGTGGTGTTTATTTCATGTAAGTCTTTATTAGTAGAACAAAACATTAAGTATAAAAGAAGGTTAATGAGAAAAGATACCGCATGTTCCTATTAAATGATGTATATCACATCCTTTTAATCCCTTTCACATCAATAATTAATGTGGGGGTGCTGAGTGGAAATATAGCAGCAACTATACCCTTGTTTCCTCTATTTCTTAAATTTCGAGTCTCCAACAATGACATGTATGCTAGCTCATGGATCCATCATTTTTTCCTATGTAGAGGGGAGAGGGAGAGGGTAGAGGGGAGTTAGCTTTTAATGATGAGCTAGTCTCTTGCACATCTTTCTATATTCAGTGGGCCATCACTAATCTCTACCTTTCGAATCCAGAGCTTGAGGCTCGGGCATCCTATTAAGCCACGTCACCCGTTAGCCCGATAACCGTAGGATCCCGCGAACGTGCGATCTGGTCCGTCTAATTGCAGGTCCATTTGGGTCTCCACCCATTTGGTTGCGGACTCAAAACCTCCAGAACCATCCGGCGCGTCGGCCTGTTCGCTCGGGGAGCGGGCCGCGGGGGGCAGCGGGCCACCAAGCTCCTGCGGGGATCCCGACGAGGCACCACGTCGCCCGTATGCCCCCAGCAAGCCGGATGCGGTCAAGCGGCGAAGCGGCCACTAGCACCGGTCGAGGCCCCGGAGGTCGCCGCCGCTGCTCCGTCCCCTCCCTAGGATCGTCGTGCCCCGAGATCTTCGCGTGGAGGGATAGCCCTGGAGCAGGCCATTATCAGCGGTCAGCGCCATTCGACGCCGATGGTCACCGTCAACGCTGCTCCTTCACCTTCCCCTCTGGGATCGTCGCACAGCTGGCCACTGCTGTCCGCCTGAAACTCGACCAGGAAGCTCGATTCAGGTAATGGACCTGGACCTGACTTGTTCGAAGCTGTTTGTAGTAGTCAGTTAATGGCACACCGTGGCAATCAGCAAAGAGAAATTAGGGACAACACTGAAATGGAAAAGTACATGATCAATGAGATCATCACTGAGCTGTTTGTGTGCCTGATCCAGTAATACCTATAGAGATAAAAAACTTTAACACTCCCAAATGTTGGAGTGAAACAGATTGGGTGCATAGTATTTCTAAATCAGAAAATGCCAAGGCAATTGAGAACTGCATTCTCAAACTCAAAGTTTGTGAATGCAGATTTGTCAACATATATCCGGTTTCTGAACTGGATGCCTGCAGCACTGAAAATGCCAGAACCTTAACTTATTGAGCATGCGGGACTTGACTCTGCGGTATATGTCCACATCTATCTTCTTGGGTGAGCATGATATTCATCTTTCTCAATTTTCACATTGCACGATTGCTTTTCTTTTTTTTGATAAAAGGACACTCAAAAGAGTGTCTCACAATATATATCACAAGGAAAACAAAGGCCAGTACAAAAGATGGACAATAAGACATAAAACGACCTCCTCTAAAAAATAAAAGTACATTAAAGACAAATAGGTCATCTTCTTCCTTCGGTCTTAAAAGTTTAAAACTATTTGGTTAGACTGCCATGATGTTACAACATGATCATTTGACTTGTTGGAACATATACACTGGAAAATCAATATGCATGATCTTTAGAAGATGTTACTCCGTATCCTTTTAATGTGGTAGTATCTACATACAATGTAAATCAGGTTGGAATCCTCTCCCCCCGTTGCCCCTCAAAAAACAAAAAAGATTCCTTCGTGCATTGTCTTCATTTGCCCAAATAGGAAGTATTCCCGTGTTCACCAGGACTAGCTTTTCCATACACTGACACTGATCAGATACTCTGTTCACAAATATAGTACTAGCTTTAATGAGCATATGGAAATCCTGGATTTTGATCTAGCCTCCTTGCAAAATATGAAGGGTCAGGGCGTACGGCTCTCTAGACAGAGATTCTCTTTCCCAGACCCTACCTTTTCACCAAGTGGTCATAAAATAGGAAGTTCCACAACTATACCGTCTGATTTTGTTTGCGGAGTAAAGCTCACTATGCATCCTTACACTAGCACATATGTAAAAGGGTGTGCAGGTTCCTAATGTCCATTGAGTGGGTTGTTAGACATCCTAATCTGCCGTTTAGCAAAAGGCACGTCCTGGCTAACAAAAAATTACTTTTATTAATAAAACTCATGGCTACTAAAATCCCAAAATCTGCATAAATTATACCGTCCAAATCAATTCAGAGGATGTTAATGTACATCTGTGAAGAAAAGGAAGCAAACTAAGCAAAAGTACACATGCCCAGAAAAATAAAGAAAAAGTTGCCTTCATACTGCATTTCTTATTTTTTCATCCTTTTAGCAGCCATCCCAGGGGACAGCAGCTAGAGCCGACTTCGAACGACATCACATTATCTGGTACAAGTAGCTATGAACACTCAGTTCCAATACTCTTTCAAAATGCATAGTGATATGCACTTCTATTACAAGGAATGCAACTACTAGCTGCACATATGTGTATCATGGAGATTGCCAAACAACATGCTGTTGTGTTCTCCATGAAAATGTTTACTCATACCAAATATTCTTTTCGTATAATATTAGTTTCAGTATTGTCCATGCTCTGCATGCCGCATCCCTTATGTTTCTCAATCACAATGTAAACTAAATGTGGCTTCTTGCAGTTTGAATATGCGATTCTAAAATTTTGGTTATCATGTAACCTGAAACTCTGAACATGTGTTCAAAAATTTGCCATGCTGTAACCTGAAATCCTTAACTTCCATTTCTGCAATTTAGGATGATACAAGACCTGGAACATCTCAATATAAAGAGGCACATGATATATGTTGGAAAGTAGTAGATGAGCCTGCAGAGGACCCAGTGCCCGAGTTCTTCTAAGTAATACACTATTGAAAAACATCAAATTCAGATTGATCTCCAAGCCACAACAAAGGATTCGGCAGCTGGTTGCTCCAGCGATGGCGCGGCAAAGCCGTGCCTGGTTTTCTAGTATCTTTTCTAAGGGCCTGTTTGGCAGAGCTCCATCAGCTCTAGATCCACGAAATACAGATCCAGATTCAATTTTTCTATCCAAATACTTCTAGCTTCAGCAGCTCCACCATGGAGCAGCTCCACCAAAACCTGGATCTGCCCCCAAATCCACCAAATTGGTGGAGCACCTCAAGGGGTGCTTCACTAAACTCAAGTTTGGTGGAATTGGGGAAAAGTACCCACCACTAGCACTCATTAGTCATTACACACATTTGGCTCCGAGCCGGTATATTCTTCTCTTTCTTTCTCGCAGCCCCGTCGTGAAGATGCCCATCAAGCCCCACGCCGGCCGCACTGCACCTCGCCGCCAGCTATCCCGCCCATGCCCCGGCGAGGCCGCGTTGGCCCCCACTGTGGTCGGCGCTCCGGCCGAGTTCGCGGCTGGCCACGCACACTCTTCCCCACTGCGGCCGCGCACTCTTCCCCACTGTGGTCGCGCTCAGAGCTCGCGGCTGGCCACGCGCGCTCTTCCCCATCGGGGCCAGGCCCGCCGGGGCCGTGCCAGGCCGTGGCCGCGCCCGCCGGAACTGAGCCTTCCACTGCCACGCCCCGCGGATGCCGCGCTTAGCCGTGGCTGCGGTCGCCGGGAGCAAGAAGTGCACGGGAGGAAGAGGAGGAAAGAGAGGTTGAAGAGCTGACGCGTGGGGCTGTGGTGGAAGTGAGATAAAAGGGAGGTGGAGCTGTACCAAACACTTGGATGAAAACCAGATCCTTGGTGGACCTGCTCCACTGTGGATCTGGGTCGATCGAAAGCTGGTGGAGCTCTGCCAAACAGGCCCTAATTATCTTTCTTTATTTTAGGGTCCACATTAGCTTTGGACAATTTGTGAGAACTACACTACTGCAGAAGTGATCCTCTATACTAGCTTTTGTTGAGATGCTTGACACAGAGATCTTAGAGTTAGCAGACGCCATCTCAAAATTTTGGAGGTGGCCTTAGAACGTAGAATTTAGTCCTAGAAAAGGAGTGAAATCTTGGAAATTTTCATGAAAAGCCAAATACCTTACAATCGACCTGTACTTAGCTGCAGAGGTCAGCTTGGCCTTAGCTGCTTATTCTCATTCTATAGGAAAAGCAATTTGGTTTACAAGGAAAGCACCTTACCTGCTACAACATATTCTAACCACTAAAGTGAATGCTGAGCATATTCTAGATCCTAGAGTAGCAGCTGAAAGCAGCTTGACAGGAAACAGTAAATAGCTAATTAGATAACTAGATACATAGAGCAGCACTAGGCTTAACTCTCAGACAGCGCCGCCAATCTATGTCGCACCCTACGCGACAATCGCCATCAAGTCCCACATACCTGTGACACTCAAGTTGAAGCACCCTAACTTCAACCGATAGCTCCCTTCTTCCTCTCCCTGTGCGGCATGTTCGCCATCGCTCGCACATCGATGGCACTACTCTGCGAACCCCGAGGATCCGCAGTGGGCCATCGTCGACTCCTACGTCCACAAAATGGCTCCATTGCGGATGACGTCCTTGGCCTCGCCATCGAGCCCAACCCGGCTACTCGCTAGCTCTAGGTTTGCATTGAGGACCTCTTCCAAGCGACTATCTAGCATGTGTCGGCCATCACCTGTAATAAAAGCTCGAGTTCCCTATGTCATGCTTGGCAAGCACACGTGGTTCCCCTTTAGCAGTTACACTTGTGTTGCCGCTGAACTTTTTGATTTATTACATTGTGATTTATTACTTCTGTTGCCACTTCTGTAGCGAATACCGTACATTACTCTATTTTTTTTTGCTCTTGCTTACCTACTAGGTGACAAATCAGTCGCGCAGGGTTACCTTATACGTTGTACTATTCCTGTGTGTGAAAGGCGCCCAACAATGGATGCGTGGTGATTCCC